AAAAAAAAAAAATTAAAAAAAAAATAGGCCCCCTTCCCTATTTCAGTCTCACCTGTCACTCTTGCACCCTTCTGTAACTGCTGGCCTGGCCATGGCTGCAGCCTTTCTGGATCCTGGGTAGATGGACACCCAGCCCCTCCATGTGTAGCTCGAGGCTCACCCACCACCACTCTTCCATCTTCTTCACTCACTCCAGAAAATTACAACTCTCTTGCTGACTGATGCCCCATCCCCCACAGCGTTCTCCTCTCTGTCCCTATTAACTCATCTATAATCACTGTAATGGGGCCTCAGGAAGCCTAAACATAGGTGCTTGGTTGACCACCTTGACCAGAAGAGACCAAGAAGGGCATTTTAATACTAATCTGTCTCTGCACCTTTGGCTCTGATCAGGCTCATTCACTGAGACCCCAGCCTACTCCAAGTGTCAATAACCAGCAGGACATACCAGTCACCTTCCAGGGTACCCGTGTTTTGAAAGAAGTTCACGTTCAAAATCAAAACAAGGACATAAAAAGTCAGTATGGCCAGTAGGTTGTGTGTATACATGTAGCAGGTGCTGGGAGCCCTGTCCACATCCCTGCACGACTGTGGCCTCTCCCCCTGCTGATGTGAGTGTAGGCAGTGAATGGCTCATATTTGCATTCTTCCTCAGAGAACTATCTGAAGCTGAAGCAGCTCTCCTTCAAGGAGACCTACACTCCCCTTCTACACGGGATGGCCAGGCAATGGCTGACTAACAAGGGACCCAACAGGTCAGCCCCCTTGTCTCAAGAAGACAGCTCTTTGGTATAATTTATGTTACTGAATTCTCCAGCTCAGCTAGGGCTAGCCTAGCTGAGGCCACATCCGTGCTCAGTCCATTCCACTTTCCTCACTTCCTTAGGTTTCTCCCATGTGCTACCAAATCTCTGTCTCAGGCTCTGCTTCTAGGGAACCTGAAGCCAAGATCGTGTGGGAGATACTTTGGGAGAGAATTGGGTAAAAAATCTCACCACTTAACTGAACTTCTGAATGCACATGTCAAACCTCAAACCCTTCTCTGTGGTTTGGTTCACAAGTCTAATCGGCAAGGCTTGGGTCACTTGTTGTGCTAGGTTTCCCCTAAGCTCAGTGCAGTCAGCAGGAGGGTGGGGCTGGTGGGTGGTTCCATGACTTTGCTCCCACCCTACACAGAAGTCTAGTTCAGCCAAAAAGCAGTTTTGCCTGACCATTCCCCCAACCCCTGCCACCAAGGTCCTGGATCTGTGGTGATCGTGGGTGTTGAGGAAAGACTGAAAACAGACTGGGGACCACAGGGTCTTTGCCTATGTCCAGGACAGAAGTCAGCGCTGCATGTGTCACGGATGGCTCAGGGCCGATGGGCAGCACTGTGGCAGAATCAGCTTACAGGCTCACTCCTACTGGGAGGGCCTCTACCTGACATGGCTTTGCAGCTCATCTACACAGCAGCACACCCGAGAACCTGATCAGCATCAGTCAGGATGGGTGGCCCACCAGCACTCGTCCTGTACTGTTCTCCAGGGATGCAAGGGTTGGAAATTTCTAACCCAACAACCAATTCTACAAGATGATGTCCTTGCTTCTTCACCTGACTCATGCCCTCACCAAGAAAACATTTAGTGAGTGCCTACTATGTGATCTCAGCTCTGGAAATGGTCTAGGAACAGGTGTCAAGTTGAGGGGCCCAGTAACCAGTTCATGACCTCCAAGGGGTTATAAGTTTATAACCACTTGGGAATAGCCTCAATGTGTTTAAATTATGTCGTTCTTAGATGCAACCCCCCAAACCACACATTTTGCCATTTTGCAGATTAGTAAAGGGAGGCGCAGTGAGAGGGTGTACCCAGACAGCCAGGGCCACAGTTTCTGCCACAGGCACCTTGCCACCCTGGGTCCCGGCCAGGAGTTTCAAGGTTCTGACCTGATTCCTTTGGGCAATCTTCTGTCCCTTCTTCCAGCGGAGCACTGGTGTCAGAGCTGGCAGCTCCCTCTCCTCTCCAGTCGCATGTTCACCCAAGCTGTAGGCGGCCTCAAACACAATGGGACTGATGACGTCCTGCACTCGCCGCTGCAACAAGAAACAGGCCCATGCATTAACAGCTGGCGCTGGGCGACGCACGCAGAGCATTTCGCAGTTTACAAAGACCTTCCACATGGATGGCCTCATGCCAGCCTCACAGCCACCCCTGTGAGGTAAGACTTTATCGTTCTCCTATCCTAGCTGAGGTAACTAAGGCGGAGAGCGGGGAACGTCTTGTCCAAGGTCAGCTGCATAATGAGCGGGGGCTTCCCCACTCTACCTTGTGGGGGGAGCTAATCATCTTCTCTTCAGCATATGGAACACATGACCCTACTCGTCTTCCAAATATCCTTCTAAGCCAGCTGGCGGGCGGGGGAAGCATCTGCGCTCGCACCGTAAGCTGACCCTCCGCATTCCCAGTGTCTGGAGGAGCAAAGGTCTTTTGTATGGAGATGGATACGGCTCTTGTGCTGCAGCAGGAGATCGAGTGACACTGAGGAGCCTACTGTCTTCCCGGGGTTCAGGATCGGTGGAGCCAGGACTGAAAGTCTTATTTCTGGCCCTATGTTCTTTCTTCTGAAACCCCAGGGCTTTAAGACCCAAAGGAATGAATGAAAGGTTGCTAATCACAACAGAAAAGCAGGGGATGGGAAGGAAAGCAGGGATGGGAAGGGAAGAAGGCAAATAGACAACAAACACCTACAAGATGCCAGGCACCATGCCAGGTGTTCTGAACACACAGGCAACATGCCCGAGCCCCGCGAACTAGAACTTCTTATCCTCCATCATCCAGGAAAGGAAAAGGAAGTTGCAAGGGTACATTCCCCAGGGCACAAGGCTGAGAGGGCCAGCACGCCCTGTGGAAGGTGGGCTTCCAAGTGGAGTGGGGCACATCTGAGATGTGGCACGAATAAGCCAAGTCCCCACTGCTCCACACCTGTCTCAGGCAGGAAGCCAGCAGAGGAGCATGGCGGCCCCGTCAGGGACTGAGAGAAGCTGGGCAGGTGGCCAGAAGCCAACCACAGGGCTGGGAGTGGAGCCGAGGACGTCACACCACTCTCTGGGTGAAGTCGGGTGGAATTTCGAACAGGTTAGAGCTGTGTTCAAAATAGTAGAAAGTTCTGAAGTTCCCAAGCAGCGCACCATGAGGAACCTGCTCCCAGGCCTCCCCGACAGCCAGCGCCCCTCTCCGCAGGCAGGCATGCCAGCTAGGTTTTGGATACTGGTCCAGTCTAAGCGGGAGTGGGCACATCGCAGTCGTGACATGCTGTGGTTTGTCTTCCTCGCTTCGCATGTGCACTGGAGTTGGAGACGGTTGGGTCACAACACAGAGCTCCAGCACACAACGACCTGTTAGAGTGGATGCCCTCACCCACCGACGTCTGCACTCACATCTGCCTTAACGAGCAAATGGGTGGCGGCCCCCCCATAAATTAGCAGCATTCTCCAAGATGGCGCCCAGGAACCTCAGTTCCCCGGGAGGGGAATAAATTAAAGGGTCTGTGATCAAACAATTTGGGGGAGGGGATGGAAGGGGGAGAGAGCAGGCTAAACAAAGTTAAAAAGGGTTTTTATTCTGTTTTGTTTCTCTCTGTTTTTAACATGGTTGCCTCTGAAAAAGGGTAGGGTTGTTCCGTGGAGCAGATACTCAGAGGCAATGGAGAGCAGAGGAGGAATCTCCCACAGCAGCCCAGGACAGGAGGGGACACCGAAGCCAGCGGGCTGTGGCGTGGGGAGCCATAAGTGGCCATACCTGTGGAGTGTGGGGGATAGATGACACTGGGGGCAGAGGCCCGAACAGCGAGGAGATGCTTCATGTTCAGGAAAGCATGCAGTGGGGGATAGATTCAATCATTTAGCATAACTAAAATACAGGGGAGTGCCGGGGAAGTCTTGGATACACTGCTTCCAGAAAATTCTCTTGACCTTCGGATTTTAGGGACAGATATTTAACACCTATGTCCTTTCCTGGAGCAAAACACACTCCTGGGAAATGGATCTCCTCTGCCTTGCTGACTCTGATAAGCAGAATCTAAAGACTTTTGGAGGCATGGAGAAGAAAAGCCCGAGCCATCTTTATGGTTTGAGAAATACATGCTTCAGTGTTTTGTTTTGTTTTGCTTTGTTTTTTAGGGTTGACTACCTTAAGGCTTTGCATTTAAATCCTTCACGGTGAAGTAAGGCAGTTACTATGTTTTTATTCTTGGGGGAAAGGTCGAATGTGGGGGTGGGGGAGACAGAAGTAACTCATCATTTCCTGACCACCAGCCCCAAGTATTCCAGAGACTGGGCCAAGACATCACTTTCCTTAATCTGCACACCACCTGAGCTGGTAGACTACTGCTCCCATCCTGCAGATGAGGCAACAGAGGCTTGGGAGCTCAAATAAATGTCACTCCACCCCAAAGCGTGTAATAAGTTGTAGGACCAGAAGCAAAACTGCCTTCCCTTAAGTCCATAATATACCATTCAAAGGTTATCCAAACTGCCTTAGGTGCTGACGTCAGCCTCAAAAATCACCTGTTCACTTATGAAGATACAGGGCGGGGGGGAGCACTGTTTTTCAGACAGGCACGCCAGCCCTGTTCCCAAACACGCGGCCATCCAAGCCAGGCTCACCGTGGAGGGACACTGTACTGGGGATGAGTAACGGAGTCTGACATCTAGGCTTGCAGATGCTATGCTCTGGTACTGATCGCAAGAACCTGTTTTAAGTAAGATGTTTGGAAGTACAGTTCTTATTACATGTGCCCATAGCTCTGGGCAGGAGGGAACAAAACCGTACTGAGAGCCGTGGGCAGAGGCGGAGGTGGGCACGGCATTCTGAAAGGCGCCAACACCCCCCAAGAGGACATCCCCCTGCCCATGCTGGATTTGTATTATTGGAGCTGCGAAGGAAAAGTAGCAGCAACATTTGGTGGTTTCCTTGTCCTTTCTGAAAGCTTCCCTCAGATCAGCACTGCAATTAGTGAAGGAACTCCTTAGGAGAGAGGAGGCTTAGCTTTCTGGCACAGACCGTAATCACTGAAACGTTACTGCTTTAAGGAAAAACAAAATCACCACTATGAATGGAAACTTCTAACGTTGAACACTTATTCAGCAGACCAAGAGGCAAGACTCTACCTTTTCGCCCTAAAGATCAACAGGAAGTGTCCTGATTCTGAAAGCTGAAGGAGCCCACACAGAGAACAACCCCCGGCCCCATCCCAGGCGGGTGGCAGAATTTGTGGTGGCTGAGGTTTAACAGGGAACTTAACATATGCTCAATTACAAACTCATTGGGTGCTTACTTTATGCCAGGCTGCGTGCTGGATCCAAGGGACACAGAGATGAAAGACCATTGGGGAAACAGTAAGCATAATGACTATCTCGTGTAATACACACAGAACAGAAGAGGCTCTGGAGACTCAATGAGGGACATATAATTCAGACAGAGGGTTAGAAGGCTTCCCAGAGCTGCCCTGGGCTCAGCCACAGAGGAGGCCAGAAGCATGGCTGGTCCAGCCGCGTGGAGAGGGCATGGTGTGTCCAGTGGATTGCGTGTGATTCCCAAAGGTGGGGAAGTTGGGCTTCTGGGGAGGACGAGGGAGAGAAGAGGCTGAAGCAGAGACTGGACCTCAGGGGGCTCACAGGTGCGCTGACTGCATCCTGTGAGCGGGGAAGAACTGCGAGGACAGTAAAAATCGCAAGGACGGTAAGTAAGAACTGCAAGGTGATGCTAGAGGCTGTGTTTGAGAAGAATCCCTCTGGTTTCTTGCACCAATGGGGTGAGATGGGAGGCAGGGAGGCCAGTGAGGAGGCTGGAGGAAGCTGTGCTCTAGAAAGCCCCCTCTTGCTGTAGAACGGAAGTAGACCGATGGGGGGCAAGCCTGGGGACAAGTAGGATAGGAGGAGGTCACCATAGGGCTTCAGAGGAAAGACTGTGAAGGCCTTTGCCAGGACACAGCAGTGGTGATGGAGCAAACGGGAGGGATGGGAAGGTGACTTAGGAGGAAATGGTGGTAGGACTTGAGGACGGGATATGGGGATGACCTCTCTTCCATCAATAATTTTGGAGGACGGCCTGATGTTCAGCTTGTGTGAGTGAGTGGACACATGTCACTCAACATCATGTTAGCAGGAAAAGGACAAGTATGCCATGAACTTAGGAGTAGACACACGGAGCTTTGTTACGACACAGAAATCTCCTTCCTGGCTCCAGGCTCTAACTCTGCAAGGAATCTTCCTGAATACACTGATCTGGGCCTAAACCTCCGTGCTTCCTCTTGTCTTACACAAAACTGCACGCCTGCTCCAGTGTCTAAGGTCAGCCTTCCCTGGCACTGGCTCGTACAGACTCACCATAGGTCCTCTGCCTATACTATGAGCCCATCCAAACATCTTATCAGGGATGGGCTTTGCCCTCCTTTGGACTACAACCTCCTCCTTCCTCAGCTCATCTCATATGCAAAGACATTCTCTTGGGGTCTCTAGGGAGGGCTGCGGGGCCTTGCAGAGTCTGCTGGCAAGAGGCAGTGAGGGCCTCAGAGCAACATGCCTTCCTACGGACTCTCTTCCTTATGGAGAGAACTTCCGGCTTTTCCTTCTATCTGATCACCTTGCTCTGAAAATGAAACAGAAGTAACTCAAATCCTGCAGGGAGGCCCGCTGACAAGCAGGTGCCACCCACCACCAGGGCTGCTTTGCCCATTAGCCTAGGGTGTCTAAGCAGTTGGCCAAGGCCTCAAAGTCATTGTCTCCTTTATTTGTGTCATCACAGAATTTTCATTGGTGAGTATAATTAGTATCAAATCACAAGAACCCACCTACCTGCCCAGAACAAGGCATGCATTACTACGTGGGGGAAACCTTCCCAGGGAGATGTGATTCCAACCCTGGCTTCAAGACTTGAAGAAAGTGGGTCCTGTGCTCTGGGCACCCTCGACTAGCCTCGAGATTTAGAAACCTACCTCTCAGGGTAGCTTTTCCCCAAGAAATGAAGGGTTTTCATCTTTCTCAGCTAACAAGCAGCTGCCAGGGTCAACTAAATGAAAACAGGAAGGGCTGGC